CATATGTGCGCCTTGCCGTCACTCCGCCAGCGGCTTGCAACTTGCTTCAACATCATAGACTTTTGGCTCAACACCAGCAATCCATGCAAAGCTTTGCTTGCTCTCGCTCGCAATACTTCATCGACCCGCATGTCACAGCGGGCTGCGCCTTGCCTCCAAAGGCAACCACAGCCACACCCACAACACACAGCTGACAACGTTTTGTTTTCACTGTGCCACATCCACGTGTGCAGCAAAGCAACTGCCAGCCATTCCCCCACACACAAACACATATTGGCTCATCGCCCTTCTCCCAACGCACAGCTACACACACAAGGAAAATGCATGCCCGTTCATGCGCACACATGTCATCTACGCGCCAGGCACATCGCTGTGCCCGGGTCTCAATGCACCATGCGTGCAGGCTTGCTTCCTGCGTCTCGCTGCGTCACATCACTGTGAGGAGGGAAGAACAATCAAGAGCCAACAATGTGTGTTCGTGTGCGAGAAATGTCCAGCGCTTCACACTGTCACACTCAGAGGAAGCTGAACAATCAGCTCGCCCTCTTTCCGCAAACACAGTCGTTGCTCGCCACAAGCGCATATGTCGTGTGTTGCTTTGCTTCTGTATGGTAGAAGTGCGTTTGCTCATGATGCGAGTCGTCACAAGAACACACACAGGGACACGAGCAAACGCTTGCTCGCCTCCCCACATGTGCCTCTTCACACCCACACAATGCTCATGCATCATACACACACAAACATCCACACACAGACACACGCCCGTGCTGTTCTCATTGCATGTGCTGTGTATGCATGTGTGCTCATGCAAGCATCGCTCACAACACACACAAAGGGTGTCGCTTCGCTTTGCCTGCACCCACACACACACTTCACACACACAAATGAAGAGAGAGGTCGCTCGGAACACAGCAGATCCAAGATCCAAGAGGAAAGAGAAGTTGGTGCAAGGGCGCAGACGCGGCTTTTCGTGCCCGCAAGCAATCCTGCTCAGCGACATTCGCCTTGCTCTCATGCTTGCGCCTCTACTCAGCGGCTCTTTGCCTTTGCCTTCTCTTTTCCTTTTTTTTTTTGTCTTGCTCATTTGCATCCTTCCTCTCATGTATGCCAATCCATCGAGCGGCAGCTGTTTGAATCGCTGCTTTGCCCTCGTGCACTTCGCCTGCAGGCACCGCAATCTAGATTTAGTGAATCTGCTAGATCTAGATTTGTGACTGGATCTAGCGAGTGCGCACAGCTTCACTGCATCAAGATTCTTCACACTGCTCACACCCCAGATTCCCCTGGTCCGTGACCAACCACTGCTTGCATGCAATGCCCTTGCTCGCTTTCGGCTGCACCTGCACAGCTGCAGTTGCACTGGTGCCTCGCGATGCAGTGTTCAGACACTACTCATGACAGTATTGAGCCTTTTTTTCATCACATGATCGCACTTTTTCTGCACCCGCTTTTTGACTTCACCGCCCCAGTCTCCCTACTCCGGTGATCAAGTAAGCAAGCGAGCAAACGTCACTGCACCATACCATGAGCTGCAGCAACAGGCACAAGACCACGTGGCTGGCTTGCAGGCACACGTGCGCGCGAGCACACTGCACTGTGCGCACTTCTACTTGCCTGCAGGCACGCTGCGCTGAAGCAAGAAGGAGCAAACCAAAGTGCAGCAAGGATGGATTCGTTTCCATGTGATTGAACAAGAGACAAGCAAAGAGACAAGCAAGCAGGCAGAGAACGACGAGGAGCAGCGCAAGGGACACGTGTACACGTCTGTATGCATGCATTTGTGTGTAGATGTTGCCTGCAGGCACGGGGACGTGTTTCTGATTAAAGCGGATTGGATGAGTAGCAATCCTCTGCTCACTGCAAGCACACTTGCATGCGATTGTGCAGTGCTGTTGGGTTACTCACAACCACTCACAACTTCTCCTACTTGCATTTGATTCACTCCACAGCGATCTCTCTACTCACTGCTGTGTTACTCACAACCACTCACAACTTCTCCCGTTCACTCCACTACATCCTTCTACTCACTCGCAAACACTCACAACTTCCCTGCTTGCAGTGGATTCACTCCACTACATCCGTCTACTCACTCACAAGCACTCACAACTTCTCCTGCTTGCATTGGATTCACTCCACTACATCCGTCTACTCACTCGCAAGCACTCACAACATCTCCTGCTTGCATTGGATTCACTCTACAACATCTGTCAACTCACTGCTGTGTTACTCGCAGGCACTCACAACATCTCCTGCTTGCATTGGATTCACTCCACTCCAACTTCTCCTGATTC